CGTAATGGGCGAATAAAAGACGTTGCATCATGCCTCGTGTTAACCTCTGAGATAAGAGGTTACATTTTACTTAATACTTAATCGTTTTTTTATTGTTTTTTTGTTTTTTTTGTATTATTTTTTTTTTGGGGGGGGGGGGGATTTTACACAAAATCCTGTGGTCATCCACGGCACGTTGTCTAATATTAATGTGTTACACGATTAATATTGGACTTACACATTAATATTGGACACCTACCTGTACTGTATTAAAAAAACAGTACGGTCAGAACAAAGGAATGACGTCATAGTAGTAATTTAATGTATCCTATTGTATTGTACTACAGTTTAAGCCGGAGGGTAAACATAATCGTTTACTACAGGTTAGGCAAATAACAGTTCCGTTTAATTGATTTTCGTCTGCTTACCTTTGAATGGCTTATCAGTAAAACTTTAACACTTTGCATGCTGGGGAAATTATCGTCTTTTAAAGATGTCGTCTGCTTTGTTATAAAATTAATGATAATAATGAAATTTGTAATAAATACCTCTCCATCGAATCAACATTGGACTTTTAGACATACCGTTTCACTTAACAAGAAGATTAGCAAGCTATCAAAAAAATCGATACAGATATAAATGCATTCGTCGCACAATAAACGACGCAAAGTAAGTGAACGGACAGGACAGAAAACATCCGAATGACATCGGGTTTCTGGTTTCACATTTTCGGGAAGACGCGAATTCAAGTTGGCGCGAAATAATTATTTTGGACATTTTGCCTCAAATTCGCGAAATAAGGTTCTCGCGAAAAATAAGTGTTTTACAGTACTTATGTCAGTCTTTTGATATTTGGCATACAGCATTGACATGTCGTCCCATATTGTGGGATTCGCTTTCAGGTCTATCGCTCCTCCACATCCTGTTTACCGACTTAGTTAAATTTTCAACATTGGTGATCAGTGGCAAATTTTTTTTCGTAACATCACAGCATCATGATATTTGGTATACAAATGCAACCGGCCTTTTCTGTCTTTGACCCATAGACACATAACGATTCACCTGTGTGTGTGTGTGTGTGTGTTTGCGTTTATATAGATTATATAGTAAACTTAAAAAATCTTCTTGTGAAAAACCACTGGTCCAATTTCAACCACACTTGGCAGGATTGATCCTTGGATGAAGGGCTTCCAAAGTTGTTCAAAGAATTTTATTCCATGCCGAAATCTGGTTGCCATGGCAATCAAAAGGTATTACAAGAATAAATTTAAAAAATCTTCTTGTAAAGACCCACAAGGCCTAGAGCATAGATATTTTGTATAAGGCATTGTCTGGTAGGCCTCTACCAAGATTGTTAAAAAAATAGCCCTGGGGTCAAAATTGGCCCCGCCCCGGGGGTCATTAATTTTCACTATATGTATATATAATAAAAACTAAAATGCCTTCTTGTCTAAAGGTACAAGGCTTAGAGCTTTGATATTTGGTATATGATATCATCTATAGGTGCTCTACCAAAGTTGTTCAAATTTTGCCTCTTGCGTCAAAATTAGCCCCGCCCTGGGGGTCATAGGTTTTCCTTTTATGTATATAGTAAAAACTTAAAGAATCATCTCCTTGATATTGACAAAGGCTAGAGGTTAGATAATTTGCATGAAACATTGTGTTATGAACCTCTACCAAGATTGTTTAAATTGTAGCCTTGGGCTGGGGTCAAAATTGGCCCCGCTCCGGGGTCATTGATTTTCACTATGTACGTGGGACGGTTAGAAAATATCCGGACTTTTCATGCTCCTCTCTTTCCACGTGCAGCTATATACACACATTATATATTGGTGAAAACTACATTCATTCACAAATAACGTGGTCAGTTTATTTTCAATGATAGTTGTGTATACACAGTATTTTGCCCTCTGATATATGATAGGTGTTTCGTCTATCATGGACTCTTTGTTAGAGGAACAACGCTCTGTAATAAAGTTTCTGGTTGCAGAAGGTGAAAAGCCCTGCCACATCTTACAGAGGCTTAAAAATTTTTTTTCTGATAAATGTGTATCACGTTCAACCTTCTACAACTGGTTTCTCAGTTTCGTGAAGGCAGAACAAGTGTTTGTGACAGGCCTAGGACTGGGCGGCCAGCTGAGGCGGTGACCCCAACAATGGTAGCAAATGTTAAAGCTTTTGTCAACAAAAATCGTCGAGTAACTTTGGAGGAGGTAGCCAACAAGTGTAGCATCGGTAAGGCATCGGGACATAAGATTTTACACGAACACCTAGGCGTGAGCAAGGTAAGTGCCAGGTGGGTGCCTAGACAGCTATTGGCAGATCAAAAGGCAACCAGAGTAACCAATGCAAAAGAACATTTAAGTCGTTTTAATCGTGAAGGAGATAAGTTTTTGAACCGCATTATCACTGGAGATGAGATGTGGGTTCATTTTTGAACCTGAGACAAAAGCTCAGTCAAAGCAGTGGAAACGTGCTGGTTCCCCACCTCCTAAAAAGTTTAAGCTGTCTCCTTTGGCTGGCAAAGTCATGCTTGTTGCCTTTTGGGATTCACAAGGAATGATACTTACTCATTTCATGCCAAAAGGTCAAACTGTCGCCACCAAGTACTATTCTGAAGTAATTCTGAAAAATCTCAGAGAAAAGCTGAAGCAAATGCGTCCCAGGTTAGCACAGAAAAATGTCCTCCTTCTTCACGATAACGCCCCCTCCCATACCGCCGCAGCTACAGTGGAGGTTATCAACTCTTACATTGTTGTCTCACCCTCCTTATAGCCCAGACCTCGCCCCCTGTGACTTTTATTTGTTTCCAGAACTGAAAAAATTGCTTGCTGGAAAGAAATATAAGACCAGGGCGGCTTTGATATCTGCTGTTACACAGTACCTAAAACATAGGTCTACGTCATGGTTCACAGCGGGAATACAAAAGCTCCCATGAAGATGGCAAAAGTGCGTAGACGTAGGTGGAGAATATTTTGAAAAAGAGAAGAAAGATTTTTTTTAAAATGTTGAATGGTTTTCGAGAAAAGTCCGGACATTTTCTGACTTCCCCTCGTACATATAGTAAAAAAATTAAAAATCTTATTGTCTGAAGGTACAAGGCTTAGAGCTTTGATATTTGGTATATGATATCATCTATAGGTACTCTACCAAAGATGTTCAAACTTTGCCTCTAGTGTCGAAATTAGCCCCGCCCGAGGGTCATAGGTTTTTCTTATATGTACATGTATACAGTAAAAACTTTAAAAAAATCATCTCCTCTAAATTGACAAAGGCTAGAGGTTAAATATTTTGCATGAAACATTGTGTAGTGAACATCTCGCATGATTGTTCAAATTATAGCCCTGGGGTCAAAATTGGCCCCGCCCAGGGGTCATTGATTTTCAGTCACTTATAATGTACAGTACATATAGTAAAAACTTTAAATCTTTTGCCTGAAGGTACAAGGCTTAGAGCTCTGATATTATGTATATAATATCATCTATGAGTCATCTACCAAAGTTGTTTAAATTATGCTTCTAGTGTTAAAATTGCCCTGCCCCAAAGGCGATAGTTTTCCTTGTATGTATATAATAAAAACTTGAAAAATCTTCTTTTCTGAATTGACAAAGGCTAGAGGTTAGATATTTGGCATGAGACTTTGTGTAGTGAACCTCTACCAAGAGTGTTCAAATTATAGCACTGGGGTCAAAATTGGCCCCTCCCCGGGGGTCATTGATTTTCACTATGTACATATAGTAAAAAATTAAAAAATCTTATTGTCTGAAGGTACAAGGCTTAGAGCTTTGATGTTTGCTTTATAATATCATCCATAGGTCCTCTACCAAATTTGTTCAAATTTTGCCCCTGGTGTCAAAATTGGCCCTGCCCGGGGGCATTGATTTTCATTATGTACACATAGTAAAAACAGAAACTTTAACAAATGTTTTCTGAATTGGAGAAAGCTACAGCTTAGATATTTGACATGAAATGTTGTTTGGTGGACCTGTATCAAGATTGTTTGAATTAAACCCTTTGGTCAAAATTTTGCCTTGGCCAAGGGGACAGTGACCTACTTTCTTGTCCTTTGATGTACAGCCATGCAATTTGGACTATGTGCACATTTTTATTTGTAAAATTGAACTTTGATATCAGGTGACCTAGATTTTGATGATGTGACCTACTTTTTTGTCCTTTAATGTGCAGCTATGAAATTTGAACCATGTGCACATATTAAGATGTAAAGTGAACTTTGATATCAGCTGGCCTAGATTTTGACAAAGTGTCTTACTGTGTTGTCCTTTGATGTACAGTCATGGAATTTTGGCCATGTGGAATATGACCTTCACAACCAAATTCAATAGACTCTACTGCATTGATAGATTCCTACTCTTATCTTTTATTTGAATAACAATAGATTTAACCACTAATCTAATAATAAGAATTAGATGGGTCAGTGATCTATGCATTATGGCAATCTTCATTTGTATAGAAACAAAAAAATTCTGTTCCTACATTACTTTTCGTGTTGTATTAATGCGGTGGCATAGCACTTTTCACAAATGCAATCTTGTTTCTTTTATAAATTTATTGTTGCATTTGCAGATCTAGCATTGATCATAAAATTTGGACTGAAAGTCCTGAGATCCATACCTCAATCTTTTGAAATAGCACAATTTTATGCTTCATATAAAACTTCCCGGAGGCGGGGGAAGTTGGTAATCTGTTACAAATTCTTGTTTAAGAAGAAAATGCATAACTGATAGCTATACAGTTGACAAGGACACACATACAACTTGCAGAGTTTTAGTTAAATTTATTAATTGAAAAGTGTGGCTTAATGACAACAAAACTAGCTTATATGGATCTGTAGAGGATTGTTTTCCAACATATGTTTTTATTTAAGGCATCTTTGAGGAACAAAACATACTAACTTTCTTTTTTTTTGTTTTACAGAGAATGATTGTTAAGTTTGGATTTTTTGGACAACACTCTGGTGGCTCTCAATCAGTGGAAGAGGAGGGGGTAAATTTTAACTCTTGTCATCAGGAATATTTTCTATTAATATTTTTCTTGTGACATCATTTAATAGTGTCGTATGGATCTTATCTTAATGTTTACCAACCCGAGTTGAAAGTGATTAGTCTCTGACTCCAACAAATAGTCTGTACATATTTTAAATCTGACCTGGCTGATTTATCAAATTATGTCAATTTTTACGATCCCCAAACGGAGAGCATATAGTGGTCGTCTTGTCCGTCCGCCATCCGTTGTACTTGTTCAGAGCATAACTTGAAAACCCTTGGATATTATAAATTTGTTTAAACTGCACATAGTGGTAGAGGGTATTGAGGCAGAGTGCAGTGTTAAAGAACAATATCTCTATTTTGCCCAGTTCTCGAATTGTCTTCCATTAAAAAAAAACAACTTTATACTAAGCATAGACAATTACTTTAAATTTCACACACTAGTACATGGCATTGAGCAGGAGTGCAATGCAGAGGAAATGTAACTTTGTTACACTTTGAACTTTATCCATGAGATAACTATAAGAGATATGAAAATGAATCTTTTTACACTTGAACTTTGTCCGGGACATTGCTCTGAAACCAAAAGAGGTATCAACAAGAAACTTTGTAGGTAGATAGATCTGATTAGGTAGATGTGCAGTGCACAAGAATTGTAACTGCCTTGCCTAATTAGGAGTTATTGTCTTTGTTAATATTTACACTTTGAACTTTGTCCAGGACATAGCTCTAAAAGTATAAAAGATATGAACACACTTTTTGTGCCCCCACTTTAGGGGGGCATTTAGATTTACCCTTGTCCGTCCGTCCATCTGTCCGTGCTTTCGTCCGTTCTCATTTTATGTTGCACATAGCTCAAAAAATTTGACCTACAGTCATGAAACTTTACAGGAATGTTGATCAGCATGTGTAGTTGCACACCTGGGTATTTTTGTTTGATATATTTAGTATTTTTAAAAGTTATTGCTCTTGACTTTGTCAAAATTTACAATTTTCAACTTGTGTTGCATGTAACTCAAAAAGTATTTGACCTAGAGTCATATAACTTTACAGCAATGTTGATCTGCATGTGAAGTTGTGCACCTGGGGGTTCGCTTGTGGATTTATTCTGTTTTGTCAGAGTTGACAAACTTAGAGGTTGAAGGTACAAATTTGTGCCCAAACTGTTTCTTTATATTAAGCAATTAGTTACTTCCATTCTCTTTTCTCTTCATTTTACTTTTCTGCAATGGGTAAGAAACCTTTTCAGGGGCATTCATCACTTTGGGTGGTTTAAGGTCATATTGACCTTGTTGGAAAAAATGTTTCCAATCAATAACTTGACAACCCATGGGCACTTGGCCCTCACACTCATAGGTTCATTGGTCTTTGCCAGTGGATGACCCCTATTGATATTTTGGGTCAAAGGTCAGTGTCATATTGACCGTATAGGTAAAAACTGTTTCCTATCAAAATCTGACAACCGATGGGCTGTTGGCTCTCAAACTTTGTAGGTGCATTGGTCTTGGCAAGTAGATGACCCCTATTGATTTTTGGGTCAGGGAGTCAAAGGTTAAGGTGTTGTAGAGTCATTGACCCTGTATTCCTATCAATAATCAACAACTTATGAACCCTTGACCTTCAAACTTCGCAAATTGATTGCATTTGGTCAGGAGATTATTTCAATGGATTTTTGGGGTCAAAAGCTGAGACGTCAAGATTACATTGGCCTTGGTAAAAACTGTTTCTGATCAATATCTCAACAACTCATGGGCCCTAAACTTTTAAACTTCACAGATGCACTGGCCTTGGCCAGTAGATAACCCCTATTGATTTTTGGCTACCAGATCAATTGGCTATTGATAGGGGAAAACAGGTTTTATAAACATATCTTGTTAACCCATTCCCAGACAGCTACGCCTTTTTTGTACCCTATCTACCGCCGTATAGATACGCCTTTCTTGTACCTTACCAACTGCCCGATAGCTACGCTTATCTACGCTTAGACCGCTGTCTCGATAGCTACGCCTTTCTACGAACATCTATTTAAAGTAGAAAATAAAACTAAAGAAATCAATTTTGTATCGCCGGAAGTTTATAAATATAAACATTAACTATTAATAAATCGATTTCTAAGAAGAAAATATATTGTTTCTATTTAAAGTTTTGTCATAAATAGCGTCCAATCGTAACAGGGTATCGGGGATTTTCCACAGCGTCATTGGGGTCACGCGCGGGTTAAAAGGTGAAAAACTGTGCGATCGAGGCTCCAAAGGTCGTAAGTAAAAATAAATATCCAATCAAAAGTATTTTTCTCATTGATCACGCGCATGATTTCATAATGTACATGACTGGTTTCCCACGATGAGAAAGGCTGTTAGGTGTCAAAATGTTGTGTATATGGCAATCAAAACAAATGATACAAGGGGGCTGTGTATAAGGCAATATACAGGAAGCTGCCGCTGTGAAATATGCGAAACCGTAAGCAAATTATTATTTGAAATCACCGACAATTACGTAATTTATTGGGGTAATAAATATTTTAGCATGTCTCATATGCACTTGCGTGGAAATCGGCCGTGCATAAATCGTATGCAAAATGATAATCAAATCAGTTCGTTTGAGAACACCAAACTATTCTCTATAATATTTAGAAACTACATCTACTTAGAAATTAATTTGCGTCATGGCTTATGACAGTGATTCTAGCGATGGTTCAGATTTTTCGGGTTTTGGGCCTGAAGATTTGGGGTCTGATGTTGAGATACCATTAGTACATGATGAGCTATCTTCAGATGATGATAGCAATGATGATAGCAGTGAGTCTGTCAGAAATGATGAGTGGACAAGCAACTTCACAACTCCTAGGGTGTGTTTGGTTGAATAATATATTTACAAAAATAGCTTCGATTTGTATATATTCAAAAGAACAATACAAAATATAAAATTGTAATTTATGAAATTCAAAATGAAATTCTGATATTTTTTTAAATAATTACAGCTATGATATTTAAATACTTATGCATTTCTATGATAGATAAATAGATGTAGTATGAACCATTAGATCTGATATGAAAAATATACTTTTTTACAATGTTTCTAAATAAATTTAGCTGGATCTAGAAAAAAATAGTATAAATGAAATAAGACAAAACATGAAATATTTATTTATTTTTTTTTTTTTTTTATAGATTGACGACTTTGTTGAAAGGCCTGGCCCAAATCTCCCTGAAGGTTTTGACACAGAAACAGCAACACCCCTGGATTACTTCTGGTTGATGTTTCCAGTCCGGCTTATCGCTATGATAGTCCGATATACTAACCAGTATGCCTCATGGAAGCAGACTAGAACTGGACCGGATACCTACTGGGAAGATGTAACTGAGCCTGAACTTCGTGCCTTCTTGTCGATCAACATCCTCATGGGCATTCATCAGCTTCCCCAAGTTGAAATGTATTGGTCGACCAATCAGTATGTGGGTAATCAAGGAATCCAAAAGACAATGACTTGTAATAGATTCATTAAAATAAGTCAATATTTCCAGTTTTGAGTGAATCATTTAGAAATGGATATACATTGTCTCGTGAAACATCTGTGGACGAAGCGATGATAAAATATACTGGACGCTTATCATTCAGACAATACATGCCAGCCAAACCTGTTAAACGTGGAGTAAAAGTGTGGATGTTGTGTGATGCCACTAATGCATATTTGTCTAGGTTTGAGTTCTACTTAGGGCGACAGAACAATCAGATAGAACATGGTCTGGGTCATAATGTGGTTATGAAACTGACAGAAAATATTCAGCGGACTAATCGTTTTGTGTTCTTTGACATTTTTTTCACAGGCCTGCCACTTTTGCAGAGCCTGTTTGACAGTGGATTATATGCCTGTGGGACAATTAGAATTAATCGCTTGGGTTTTCCAACCGAGTTGAAGAAACCCAGGGATATTACTAACCGTGGTGATATGAAGTTACTTCAGAAGGGAAATATCACCGCAAGTGTTTGGAAAGATAAAAAATTAGTTCATCACGTCTCAACATTGAGTGATCCCACAGATGTTCGAGATGCCCAGAGACGTGTTGGTCGTGATGTTGTACCTGTCCGTCAACCCCATAGTGTCTGGGCGTACAACAGATACATGGGTGGTGTTGATCGCCATGACCAACTTCGAATGAACTATTCTGTGGGAAAGTGTGGGAAGAAGTGGTGGAAGTATCTATTTTGGTTTCTTTTGAATTGCGCTATAGTGAACAGTTACCTTATTTACAGCAAGGCAACAACTCGTCAAACCAGAAAGAGACGCTTCCGCCATGTTGACTTTAGGTTGGAGTTGGTCAACGGCCTAATTGGAGGTTACGCAAAACACAAACGGTCAGTTGGTGGGGATCAACTTTCGAGTAACCGTGTCTTGATTTCTAATGAAAACATTGATCACCATACAAATGTCCGACTAGAAGGACGAAGGACAACGTGTAAATACCACATGAGAATACATAACAAACACAGGGAGACGGTGTATGGCTGTGCAATATGCAACATACACCTGTGTAAAGACGGTTGCCATGCAGCATATCACCAGCAGGAAAACATGTGACTGTAACATTCAAAAATTGGATTAAACTTGTGAGTGAAATATCAAAACCATGTGGATTTATCATGTGAAATAAAATGTTTAGATGTTTTATAGTTTCAATTGATACATGTCAAAAAAAAATCTGTGTAAATACGTGTATTATATTAGTTTGTTTGTGTTGCCACTTAGCTTATTTCTGTGAATAAATTCTTACTTGGATATTTAAGAAAACAATTTGGATTTATTACCCAATAATGATAATTTAGAACAAATTTGAGAACAAACACTTTCATTTGTAAATACATTAGTTCATAACAAGATTGAAGTGCAGAGACATAAAACAATTATTCTGTGAGAACATGATTTCTTAAAAAAAATAGTCAGAAAGATATTTAATTATTTAAAATATATTTTGTTAAGTTTTTGCATATTTTATTATTCATTTGTTTGATTTATAGCATGAAAAAAATGTTTGTAATATAAAGTTATAAAAAAACATGATGTTGCTTTCCTTTTAACCTCCTATTTTAGGTTGTGAGAAATATCCTATATGTCCAAAATTAGTATCATTTTGTAGGAAATTTAATTCTCTACAAAGTTTATATTGATCATAAAATTGTAAAATTAATAAATCTAATAGAAAATTTGATCTAAAGTGAATAGGTACTAATTTAAACCAGAATTCCAATAAACCCTTATAGGTACAGTGTAAAGATAATAGTGGTTTATCTATTGGTTATTGATTATCAGTATTACTGATAAGGCATATTATGTAGTGACTACCTTATATGGTCAATCTGCTATCTGGGAATGGGTTAATACTAATAAGTGTGCCTTTCATTAATTTCCTTTTGAGTGTATAAAATGTATTAATAGTTGAAATTTCATATAGATTATAGTGCTGTAGGTTTATACTAAATTTATTTCATTTTGCGTAGGAAATTATAAGTTTATTGACACGGTTGAATCAGTTCCTGAAATCAACCAGTACTAAGCAATGAGTGTAGAATGTCTAAGCTTATGAAAAATCATAAGTATTTTATATTGTTTTAGGATAACAAACATTTGCTACCAGCAAAGAAGCATATTGCAGCTTTTCGTGATACTAGATCTGTGGAGGAAATTTCTGAGGAAGATCTTAAAATGGTTGCTGTCCATGTCAGCGATAAAAACTATGACAGTGTTTATGTAAGTCTTAGGCCTAAATTAAATCAAAGCACAGAAGGCGCTGAATTTGTTTGGGTCTCAGAATGTCAGAAAGGTGAAGGTTGTGGGATTATAAACCAATTTGTTTTTGTATAGTGCCACCAATGCTTTCCAGTGTTTTAATTGTAGTAAATTGGCTTTAAGACTAATAAAAATTATTGCAACACTGATATTCAATTCAATGTTAATTTGACTTAACCAATTTGAAAAAAAAAATGAATTGCCTTAACTGGGATTTGAACTCCAGACCTCTCGGTTCCTAAGCGAGCGCGCAAACCCCTCGGCCATGGTGAAGTTATATGGTAACGGCCTGAAGAAAACCATATTATTCTAAATTCTAAATCCCAAACAAATAAAAACTGTTTGTTTGCCACTTCAGCCTGACCAATCCAAAATCCACTGGACAAGAAATTGTTTTGATTGAATATTTCATACATATTAGGTTCACTTCTCAGTTGTCTGTCTGTTTTTATACCCCGGCAAACAAAGTTAGTTAGGTATACTGGAGTTAGCTGGTAGTCGGTCGGTCGATCTGTTGCAGATTTCTTGTCCGGGACATTACTGTGAATGTACAAGAGATATCAACAAGAAACTTAGGTAAGAGGTAGTGCACAAAAGCTGTAAATCTGCCTTGCCTTATTCTAGAGTTATTGCCCTTGATTCATTTTTATGCAATCGCACTGTATATGTCTGTGCGTCCTCACTTAATCAAGACAAGACTGTTATTTTGTCATATATTGAGGGATTTTGAAATAGCTTGGCTTAAATGTCTACCAGATCAAGACAATGTTTTGCAGCCAAAAACTACGTCCCTATCCATGGTTCGCACAGGTCCTTTAAAGTCCTTGAATTTGATCCTTAGTCCTTGAAAAGTCCTTGAATTTGCTTGTAAAAAATCCCCATATAAAGTCATTGAATTTTCAAAAAAAAAAAAATCTTGAAAAGTCCTTGAATTTCGAAAAAATGGAGGATTTGTATCCAGGCAGATAAATCAATTACATGTACGAGGGTTCTTCAAAAAGTTCTGTTATCGGGTATTAAAAACAAGATAAAGAAAATATATACGAAAATGGTTTATTTCATCCCTTCAAAATATTCACCACCTACAGAAATACACTTTTGTAATCGAAATTTCCACTGTCTAAATACACCAGAGTAGTCAGCCCTTGGTATCAGTCTCAAACACTGATATACAGCACTTCCAAGTCCGCTTCTGGTGGTATACCGACGTCCAGACAGACCCCTATTGATTTTAGGGTCACATTGTCAAAGGTCAAGGTCACTATTAGCTTAATACTGAAAATGGTTTCCAGACCATAACTTAAGTTCCATTTGTCCCACAGTATTCAAACTTCATAGGATGATTGTCCATATTGGGTAGAAGACCACTATTGATTTTGTGGTCATGATGTCAAAGGTCAAGGTCACTATTAGCTTAATACTGAAAATGGTTTCCGGAGCATAACTTAAGTTCCATTTGGCCCACAGTATTCAAACTTCATAGGATGATTGTCCATATTGGGTAGAAGACCCCTTTTGATTTTAGGGTCACAAGGTTAAAGGTCAAGGTCACTATTAGCTAAATACTGAAAATGTTTCCGAAGCATAACTTAAGTTCCATTTGACCCACAGTATTCAAACTTCATAGGATGATTGTCCGTATTGGGTAGAAGACCCCTATTGATTTTGAGGTCACAAGGTCAAGGTCACTATTAGCTTAATACTGAAAATTGGTTTCCGGAGGATAACTTAAGTTCCATATGGCCCACAGTATTCAAACTTCATAGGATGAGTGTCCATATTGGGTAGAAGACCCCTATTGATTTTGGGGTCACAAGGTCAAAGGTCAAGGTGACTATTAGCTTTAAACATGAAACAGTTTTTGCTCAATAACTCAAGTATTAATCAACCTACTGCTGTAAAATTTTATAGGATTAACAGCTTTATACCCATGACGTCTTTTCGTCCATCCGTTGTAGCATTTTTACTTACAAGGTAACAACTTGATGGTGGTGCTTTGAAAACAGCAACTGTATATATACATGACTGTTCTTCAGCTATAAAGGAGGATTGCTTTTTGAAGGAGGTAATACTGTATTTAATTCCCATGTCTTACAAATGCTTCATCCTTACTAAAAGAAAAAGTACTTTTGGGCATATAATGCTCCGCCTAGCGCTGCTCTTGTCCAGATTGTGATGGTATCTGAATAACTGGACCAAGATGATTGAAAAAAAATGGTGTACAGAACTTTCTTTGAGCTTTTCTGCCGTTTAGCCACTACTGGACGTTTTTGATTTTTTCCTCTCCATTGTTTATTATTGCCCCTCCTTTGTTGCTCAAACATGTAGACCCAAGTCTCATCTCTAGTTAACATATTAGAAATAGTCCTGCTGTCAAATGTTTTGAACTCTTTAAGGAGTTTTTTTGAACACATGACTCTCATTTTTTTCCTGGTCATTGGTCAGTAAATGGGGCACCCAAAGTGCACAAACCTTTTTAAGTCCAAGTTTTTTTGACAGAATTTCATGAATCCTTCCTTCTGAAATGCCAACACTATTAGCCATATCCTTTACTGTATAAGGGCCATCTTCTTCCACCAATGCTTTCACAGCAGCCACATGCTTATCAGTCACTAACGACTTCGGACGTCCACTTCGATGACCATTTTTAATCACAGAAAGCCTACCTTTAAATTTTGTCGCCCACCTACAAACTGTCATAAATGATACCACAGAATGTCCATAAATACCATTCAGCTCATTACAAATGTCTTTTGGAGATATATGCAAAGCAGTGCGACTTTTAATATAAGTGCGTACTTCAACTTTGTAATGTCGTTTCATTGTTATTTCCAAAACATGGCCAGTGTATATGAGTGACACTACTTCAAAACTGAATAATTTACAATGGCCCCCATGTTTTCATACTTGCAACAAAACTTGTTGACCAGACTGAACTTTACCTTGATTTATAATTGACCTTGACCTTTAATGTCAAATATTTCATTTTTTTAAATATAATATAAAACAAGATTCTTTGATTTCAGGGTTCCTCTTGTCATCAGTGTAGGCAAAAAACAGATGATTTGAAGACAATATGTCGTTCAGGGGAATGTTATGGTGTGAGGGGACAGGTAAGATAGTAGTAATCAATTTATAATTATAACTTTTTACATAAAGTATAAATTTTGGAAGAGCTTTTTAGTTCGGCTTCACAGTAACCTAACTTTACAGGAAAGATCCTTGTGTGGTCCCCTGCCAAAGTTATTCAAATGGTTCCAGTCTGTTGCACAAGTAGGTCCCGGGAGATGCTTTGGTAGTTTAGCACGGAGGAAGGTAGTCCAGTACTGGTGTAACTCTCCAGGAACAATGGTTAGCAAACTACCCGCCTATATGACGGAAATACTGTTCGGGAAAAGGCGTAAAATGAAACAAACAAACAAACAAAAAGGTCACGGGACCAGAAAAGGAGTTTAAAAAATGCAAAATTAAAAAATCTTGTCTGAAAGTACAAGGCCTAGAGCTTTGATATCATTTCAACGGCCACACCCTATACCCGTAGACCAGCCACAATGTAGAAAAAAGTAGACCAGATAAGATGCGTATCTGTGTAAAATACGCATGAAAATTCCCTGGATACGCTCCGCTTTCAAAACTCATGAGTAACAAAATGCTTACAAATTTGTAGATACGCATGGTAGTGACAACTGAATTCGTACTGTAAACATGGAAAAACGTCGGAATACGGGCAAAAAATAATTTTACAAATATCTCCTTATACGTTATAGGCAAGTGTGCAAAAAAATGTCATTATCGCCGAAATATCCTTATTTGGTACGTTCCTAGATTTTCGCCGGGTCTGTATCCTCTAGAAGATATCGAAAAGCGCCTGATCGATATTAATTGAACCCGTTGTACATGTAAACAAAATGACTAACATGGCTACAAGCCAGCTTAATATTCACCATTTTTTTAACCCAGAGTCGTCTGATGGCGAGACAAAAAAAAGTAGCATAAGCGTAAATTATTGATCTAATTAATATATTATCAGTGCTGTTATTTTAAAAAGCAATAAAGTAAAACATGATGGAAATCGCCTGGCTTCAAAAACTTTAAATAGTTGGAAGCGCAGCACTGAATTGCATAATCCAGTTTTGGAACCTTGTTTATGGTGTTTTTTTTATCTTTTCATTCCTCAAGTTAAAATTTCATGTGTTTTTTTAGAATTTCTTTTTACTCCTCAAGTTAAATTTTAATGCGTACAAATACTCATGTTTACCAAGAATACTCATCAGATGAATTTTCCATGCGTAAATACCCCTTACGTGAAAAAATTATCTGGAGCACTGAGAAAAGCGTCTCGAAATTTTGATTCCCCAAAAACCATGCTCTATACATGGAATACTCCCATAGCGTAATAAACTGGTAGGATATTTAGCTATCCATATAGCCATAACGTAAATCTGTAAACAGAAATTTATTGTACAATTTGTTAGTCAAAATGAAGTTTCTACACGAAGGATTTAATACAAAAGATATCAAGAAGAGCACAAAAAATAAATGGAGATGGGAATGGTTGTCTAAATGTGATCGAAACGGGGATAACTACGGAAACTGGCTGAAAAAGCCAGACGTTCCCGGCGTAGCTTTCTGCACTGTATGTAGAAAAACTATCAAATATGGATCAAGCGGGAAAAAAAGAATTAAAACGCACACAGATGATCCAAACCATATGAAAAACAAACTTACTGTGAAACATAACCAGGTTTGTTCTAATTATCTTTTTTGAGGTATAGTGATAGGGCTA